GGTGTCGCATAAGATTTTAGTCACATGATCTTTATTATAGTTAGAAAAATTGACTTTTTAATATATTGTCTTCTTTGGCAAACATGCTCTTCATTTTGTTGTTGTATTGCTTCTTTAGATAATATTGATTAGTGTGTTTAGATTCTCCATAATATAGGTACAATATTTCTTGACAACATTGAGTCTTTTCTTGCTCAATAAGAGATTTGAAACATATCATGTTAATTAGCATAGATTCTAATTTTGATGAATGAACTCCTACAAACTTAGAAGTTTTTGCCATGACTTGACATATACTTCTTCAACCAAATCTTTATTCTTCGTATCTTTCAAAGAGTCAATTGTTGCATGTAATAACTTGAGTATTAAATTTCTCCAATGCATTTGCTCTTGGCATTGTCAACAATAAATCTTTGATATTATCTTTTAATTCATATTAAAACTGATTAATAAAAACTTTTTTATTTCAATCCATATTACTGTCGTGTTATAACACGACTATATGGTGAAAGATGATAATATAGATCTTATTATAGAAAATCCAAGTTAAAAGAAAAATTAAAAAAATATGGATAAAAGATAAGAAGGTAGTAAAACTTTTAGTAGTAATGCTGCTCTTTTAGAAAAAATAGCTTCTACTTACTTTGTAGGGCCAAAAATAAGGCAAAATAAGGTAGATTGAAAAAATAAATGATATAAAAATCTTTAGGAAGAAGTTAAGAGTAAATTCTAGTAAAAATTACCTAGAAAAATTAGATATTGGTACCCAGAGAGGGCCGGTTACAAACCAGGGCCGAAATCAGATCCTGAGTCACAAAACCAAGTCTCGACAACGACTTCGGGACTCTTTTGCAAATTGGAGAAAAGGGTTTGATAGCAAATTGAATAAGGTTTCTATGAGCATTGGTTTTGGGTGATTTGGAGTTGTAATGACTTTGTAAGAGCTTCGCAAAGTGAAGGTTTGTTTTGGATGACTTGGGTTTTATGAAATAAAATAGGGTTTACGTTTTGGATGATTTGAAGAGTTTTGTAATAGATCTATGGGTGAAATTTTTTAGGTCCATGGTTATAGTTTTTTTTAATATGTACTATAAATTTGAGCTCAATCTAACGGTTGAATTGAGGGTTATTGAGGTTTAAAAGAGTCAAGGTCTCAAAAAGTAGAATTTTAGGTCCAATGAGGGTTTTTAAGATTTCTTGCAATTTACTAGTTGGATTAGAGTGAAATTTGTATTAGAGGATAATAGACTTATTTTTCTATGTATATGAGAATTTTGAGATCAATCGAATGGTGAAAAGAAAAGATATTGGCTCTGGAAGATTAGCATCAAGGTTGGAGAAGGAGGCCGGCCAATACCCAAGCACATTTTTGAGGTTATCGTCTATTTGATAATTTCGATCCTTTTAAAACTTTTTGTGCTTGTTTTCAACTTATTTTTTAAGAATTGTGCAAAATTTGAGTTAAGATCGATGATTTATTCATTAGTTATTGAGGTTTAATTCAGTTATAAAAACTACTAGGATTTGTTTAGGATTTGGTTAGGGTTTGGTTTAGGGTTTAGGATTTGATTTAGGATTTGGTTGGGATTAGGTTTAAGGTTTGTTTAGGATTTTGTTAAGATTTGGTTTAGGATTTAGAGTTTGATTAGGGTTTTATTTAGGATTTAGGATTTGATTAGGGTTTGATTTAGGATTTAGAATTTGATTGGGATTTAGTTTAAGATTTGTTTAGGGTTTGGTTAGGGTTTGGTTTAGGGTTTGGATAGAATTTGGTTTAGGATTTGGTTAGGATTTAGTTTTGGATTTAGGATTTAGGGTTTGATTTAGGATTTAGGATTTTATTAGGATTTGTTTAGGGTTTAAGATTTAATTAGTTTTGGCCTAAAGTTTGAATGAAGTCTAATAGGATTTTAACTAGGATTAAATTAAGATTGAATTGAGATGTATTTGAGATATATTTGTGATGATTCTAATAATTTTTTAAGATTTTTTATTATTTCTTTGAAATTTCTTTGAGGTTTCTTTGAATTTGATTAAAGCTTGCTTAACATTATTATGGTCTAATTACAGTTTAGTTAGTATTCTATTAGAGTTAAGATTTTGTTGTTGCAATTTCCATTCTACCTTCCACAATCAAGTGCCTGTAGCATTCTCAAGCAAGACTTCATGTATTACGATATCGTAAGCAAGATTTTAGAATTCAGCAACATATATGATGGTTAAACGTGATCTTTATTGTAAAAATACAAGTTTGATCTCTGTTATTTTTTTTCGATTATTTTTTCTAAATGTAAGTGTGAAGACTTCCAAGAATGAATTTAAATCATAGAATAATTATAAATCTTTTTTCATCAAAGGTGCAAATCAAGAGCATTTTCAGAGAGAAGTGCATTTATAAATCCAACTTGAGTAAATCCATCAAGATATTGAGAAAGATACAACCTTAGATAAAACTTTACTTATTCTAGAAATCTTCAAAACTTTGATCTTGTTCCATCAAACTTCTCCTGCATATTCATCTTTGCCTCCATCATACTTATAGTAGCAAGTCTTCTTAGATTTAGGTATAAACTTAATCCATTTGCTTCTTTCAATTACATAATTTCTTAGCATATACTTTAAACTTTATTGTTGACTTCTTCTATAAGTATTAGAATACTACTTCCATAGTAGACATTAGAGATATGTGAGATTTCTACTTTAAGAATGTTGATAAGTTCATGAAGATCTATAATAGTTACAAATCTATTCTCACTTTTGTTGAGAGTAGCATCCATAATTTTTTCTTCTATAAATAACTCAAAGAAATTTACAAATTAAATTAGAAGAGAATAATCTGCAACGTCTAATATCAAATGAAAATTTCCACAAAGAGAAGTAGTTCACTCTCTTTAAGAAAAAAAATCATGATTAATTAAAATATTAAATTGAAGATAGATAGTCCATAACCTTTAAAATACAATAATAGAAGTAGAGTAATTTATTTACTTTTAAAAACATGACAAGAATAATGAATTAACACTCTTATCAAATTGTCAAGGATATGAATCTTAAAGAACCAAAATCTCAATACACTCTTATATAACTCAAAAAGAATAGATATTCATTCAAAACTAGTATAGTATTGAAATTGGAATGACTATTGTCAAAGATTTGAAGACTAAAAAGGCTTGAAACAAGTCTAAGGACTAAAAAGGCATTAACAAGAGTGAAAAATGCTTCATTCTTGCTTCCATATATACTATCTACTAAGAGCTATGTAGTAACATCCTATGGGACCTCCAACACATTTTCAATTTGCAAGACATATGTCTTAACTTTTGAAGCAAATTTCTTTTAATTGTGCCACATTGTTAACTTGTGTCACAAACTTTTTATATATGCAACACATGAGTAACTTGTTGACTAAGTTTCTAACCTACTAATTAATTATAAATATGTATAAAATCAAACACAGGTCTATAAAGCTTCTAAGAAGCTTTTCCACAAGATAATATCAAATCTACCTACATTTATCTGCTACCTAGCACTTCTTATCTAGATAAATATGTATGTTCATGATACTATTTGGGTTATCTAGGCCCTCTCTTTCATGTCTTAGAATTAGTACCAATTTCCTTTTTTTTTTTTTTTTTTTTTTTTTTCATAGCATGGATTTTGGACCTCTTTTCCTTCTTTTTTGTCTCTATAGTAGGACTAGGAAGAGAAAGAGGGGGGGAATTAGGATCCACACCAAGACAAGAAAGTAAGATTTAGAACAACCAATCACAAGCTTTAGATGTGTGTATAGCAATTTGAAACACGCTTGTAGCCTAAGTTAAATGAAAACATTACAAATATATATATTTTAATAAAAAAAAAATAGTGCTTGTGTTTTTTGTTTGCAAAAATCATTGATTGACTAAGGTTGTTGGCACCATTTAGAATCACATATTTAAACTATTTAAAATCAATTCTACCTCACCTTAAACCATCTTCTATTCTTATTTTCTTGTTCTTCCAATTTCCATCTTGACGCTCCCATCTTCCTTGTCTCCTATCTTCCATGTCTATTTTTTCAATCCCTATCTAGAATGTTTTTGTATTAGATTTAATCTTTGAGGTAAAAATGATCATTAGCTTGAAAAGATATTATACAACTTTTAAAGATTGCAATACTTTTTTATATACATTTTAGCTTCATTAATATCCAACTTATTAAAAAACTTGTAACATGTAACTTATAACAATGATGTATTATTGGTATAGCATAGAAAGGATGTTTATAAAGGTGAAAAGAGGATGTTTATGTGGTAATTCATTAAATTTATATTGTTTTAATGGTAAATTTTAGATAATGAAGATTTGTATAATAATTAATAAATAATACATGATTTTATTTTCTAAGTCCTAAACATATATACATATTTTGAATCTAATATATATATAAATTATATCAATTTTTTACATATTTATGAACTTTAAATATAATTTAAATTTTCTTTTATATTATGTAATTTTTAAATTTTTATACTTATTAATAATTATAAATAAAAATGATGATAATAAAAAAATTATTAAAAAAAACTAAGCATTTACTAAATCAACTCACTCATTCTAACCATCATCAAAAAATTCTCTACTATTAGATCCACATTGATCAAAAACCAATGAAAGAATGATTGAATCCTCAACAAATGATGATAGGTGGATTGATTTAATAAGTCTATAGATCAATTTAACAATTCTTAGAAAAGAATTAAATAATATTTTTGTAAATAAATATCAAAATAAAGAGAAAAAATTATTATAATGTATCTTAGCTTGTACCACTCAATATTTCAAAATATACCAAATTGTGGAGCACAATGAGTAATAGGTCCTTTACATCTTAATAGTTTCTAAAGCTTTTGTCTTGTAATCCATAAGCTCACATAATCATAAATTGAACTATATTATTCCAAATGTATTACATAAGGATGACAAGAATTTTTTTGCAGCAACAGAAACCTCCATCCATGTCAACCAAATGGAATGTACATAAATTGTGTTTTCAAATCGTCAAAAGACTTGACATTAACTTTTTTGTTTTGTTTTTCTACTATTTTTTAATATTTTTCCTAAAAGTAGTCCCCATAAGATTAGTGTAAAGCAACAAGGGATAAATAAACCAGGCCGCTGCTTCTCGGAGCTGTTCCTAAATACAAGTTTGAGCTCAACACGATTTTAGGGTTTCAATGGTTTAGGGTTAGCGTCTACTGAAAGGCAGGGACGAGTTCCACGGGCAGGCAATTCGGATCTCTGCCTCAGGCATGAACAATCACAAATAATCCGGGTATCATGAATTCTTTACAAATCTGCATGAAAGACATTTTTGAATAAATCTGGGAGACGTGTAAACCTTCTACATAAGAGTATCCCCATCCACGAACTACAGCCTTTACAATAGACCGTTGCCGTCCTGTGTGTAGGATCTGAGAATGCAGCTTCGGAAATCCTTGCGCAGCAGCTACAATCGCCGTAGTTTCTAAATAGGCAAGAATTGTGTTCGGTGGCGATTGCGTCCCCGTTACTTGACGTTTTTTTAGTGTGACACATTCTTTAAACGCAAGCACCAGTGGAGATGCTCTGCTGTGCTGTGCTGGTGAAGACGCTCCAATCATCCTTCATTCCTCTTGATCGACTTGGCGGCCACCTTCAGGCCAGGCCCTGGTCGCGATCGATGGAACCATCCGATTGAATCGAATCATTAGGAGGACTACATCGGATCACGAATATAATGTACACAAATCAGCTGCTGAACTTCGCAAGCAGAGCTTATTCCATCGTGGACAGCACATGCTCATCGTGCGATGGTTTCGGTGCTTCGCTTTTTTTCGAAGCTTTCTTCCATCCCACGAAGCCCGCCACTTTAACGGAGACGCTCTTCTTGGACCTGCTGATGTCATGATTCTCCGTCACCGCAGTGTTTGGTGATTTGTTTGAATTGTCCGCACTCTCGGTTTCGGAGGCTTCGTCCACGTCTGAGAGAGATCGCGGGTAGTGCCGTCTCTCCGAGGAGTAGACGTAATCGAGCGCGTGAACAGGTACGCCATCTTCGACTCTCCTTTCCGTCTTCCAGATGGCGGAAGGATCACTGTTGAGAGGGATTGAGTCGATGGCATTGACTTTGGAATGATAATTGGATGTGATACCGGGTAGTTGGATGCCTCCAGGCCATCCCATCAATGTGCCAATCTCCGAAGCATCGAACCGCATGCTCTCCACGAGAATTGATCCGTTGCTGGAGATTTGCTCGGTGGCCAAGTCGTTCGGAGATTGCCTCTGGGGCGATTTCATTGCATCGCTGAGATCTGCGCCATGCTGTGAGATTCTAGGGGAGTTTTGTTGCTCAACGCCGAAGTTTTCGTTACGCTTGAACACACTCTCGTGCTCCGAATGATGCTTCACGCTGAGCTTCCGGACTAAGGTGGTCCACAAGCTCTTCGGTCGCTCTCCATTTTCGTCGTCTCTGCTCACGCACTCCTGAACGCAACGAAAGCGAGCCACGATTAGAGTTTGACCCAGAGACAAGTGATCACGTATTCAAATTGAAGTAATACCAATGGAATTAGCCATCGTGCCTGATGTCTTGCGCGGTCCAAGCTCTCACGCATGGCTGCTACACTTATTGATGATAATGTAGTAGAGCTGGTCTGGTCAGGAGTTTCACGACCAGGAGAAGTGCCTGCCGACTCGGTGTCCTTGAACAAAAGAACTTGGAGCCATTTGTCTAGATTTGACTTTCCAATTTCTCTCAATTTCTCGTCGTCTACGTCACAGCTTTGATGCTGCTTACTGGCATCGTTTCTGCGAATGTTGTTTAGATGCGTCGTCAACACCTGCAACATTTCCCACCATTAAATGATCGCTCAAGAGATTAGATCAATCACACACAGAACTGCAAATGGAGGGGAAAAGACAGACCTTCTCCAGAAGCTCGTCGAGATGTCCCTCGGACACATGCAGCGGGCCATCTCCTGTCACTTCCGTAGTCGGAATCTGGAACCGGATTTGCTTAAGAAGCTCGTCCAAATACTCTTGCCTGAATAGAGGTGAAGCGTCTATGGATTCGTGAGCCGCATGTCCATTTGAGCTCGGAGTTTGCACCATGATGACATCCTTCTGCACTTCTTGTTTGGAATCGGACTTCGATTCTCCTGCGCTTGGGATCGAAGTGTCGAGGGCCGGCTCGGATGAGGGATCTTGGCTGTGCTCGAAAGCGAAGTCAATTACGCCTATATCACTTTCACCTGCTTTTGAATTCCGGGAACAAAAGTCTCTAAGTTCAGAAGTAGGCCCTTCATGAAACTGAGACAACTCGTTCACCAAAACAGCGTCGTCCGTGCAAGCGTCTTTGGAGTCGTGACCCGCAGGACTCAGTTCGTCATCAGCAAAATCACTGTCGCTCTCAGTTTCTGCCAAGAAATACAAGCGCATGAACTTAGCAGGGGATGATTGGCATCGACGAATGTTGGACGACTCAACCAAAGTATAATCTAATTCAGTCTAATGCTGATATTATGAGGATGTAGTGTACCTAGACTTTCACTATCAGCTTCGTATTGTAAGTTCGGAATAATGGCGATGTCACCGCTCCCCCTCACTTCCATTCTGGACTGCATTGAGTACGCCGACGTTACAGTTGGGCATGGAGATTTGGCCTCAACAGGTACTAGATCCCACGAGCACGAGTCCACCTCTTCTTTCATATCATCAACCTGAATTGCGACTGCGATAAATACTCGAAAATAATCGGCAGTTGTTAATTCAATGACCACTGTACAAAAGCTTGCAATGTGAGGGCAAGTAAGCTCGTGCTCTAAGAAGCCAAAACCTCTTTAGCTTGAGGCAGCCTATAGATACCTTTAATTGCGTGTTTGACGAGTGACTTCCCTACGGCGGCGTGCTGATGCTCCCGTCGAAGGTTAAGTTCTTCTTCACCCTCGTCTTCAGTATCGCTTTCGCTCAACTTGTTGGCCGTCATGATGAGCTTCTCTTCTTCCTCGTCGTCTTCTTCGTCAATCGCGCGAAGACAGACGCAGCTGCTAACGTCAACAATGTCCCGCCCCTTTGTAACCGGCTTCTTAAGCAGCAGCGTGGTGCGGTCGTCTATGCCTCCAGCGGCCGCTTCCAAGATTTCTTGCTGCGCATGCACCTGAAGAAGATCACTTTCCATGGCTTCACATGCGATCTTCTGGGAATCGAGGCGGGAAGTGAGGACATTGCATGCTTCTTGAGTTAATCGCGCCTGCTCCTTATAGGCCATGGTCCTTCGAAGATACCAAAAATCACTCAGCGAACTAAAATTGAAGATGTGCTCAACATCAAGAGCGAGCACCTATTAAACTCACTATTTGATTCAGCCCCTCCGCATAGCCACTCGGCTGTAGAGAAAACAAAGTGCGAAGGAAAGTTGAACGCTGCAAAAACTTGAAACAAGACAATGTTGTTTCACATGAGGTGAGCCTTCAGTGAAATTGCTGAATCTAGTTCGCTGTTCTACCTTTTCCTTCGCGGCCAATCCCTGTCGCTCCACGGTAATCTACATTCTACGCAAGTGACCCCTCGTTGCCAAACGACCATGATCCCTAAACCCGTAGAAAGCAGTGCGACTCACTCGGGCAGTTATTAGCTTATAAAGAAATCTGCATTGTATTTTCATAGCCTTATTGGTGTCTACAAAGAAATTGATAAGCGGGATGACTATACTACCCTACTAGATTCGCGAACAATCTCTGGATTCCCGGCTATGCTGCTTTAAGGAAAATGAATATGATCAAAGCTGGATGAAGGTGGGGGTAAAAAAGGATTATTGAGAGGAAGAAGGGGAGCAGGAGAGGGAGGAGTAGGGGGAGGGGGAGAGAGCATACTGATGCATGGTATCACGAAGCACTCGTTCCAGGCAGAGACGATACGATGACTGGCTCTCTGCCAATTTCCGCTGTTTTTCCACACGATGCTTATGTTTCTTAAGCAAAGACTCAAGTTCCAGAGCCTTCAACCTCTCTTTCTCATTCTCAACCTTCAGCTTCACCACCGTCTCCTCCAACTGGACTAACTCCTCCTCTCTCTCCCGCCTTTCTTCTTCTCTCATGATTTTAACACGAAGTTCCTGCGTCAACGTCGAGGTCCCGGAAAACCATGTCAAGCTTTAGGTGCCATAAGAATGTATCGATCAAAACTTTGCATGATGCTATTGCTTGTGAATGGATAAAAATATTGTGTAAAGACTAAAATAAAATAAATAAATAAATAAAGGGGAGAAGATTGTACCTTTTGCAGGGCAGTTGTGGCTGCAGACTGGCGTCCCGAAAGATCACTTTTGCCATGTCCTGTTGAAGAAACGCCATTGCGCCGTGAGACCCCTCGCATCATCTGGAACTGCACGGAATACAAACGATGACTGTGGTTCAGTGGTATTCTTGCGACGCTCTTGACATTTGAAGAGCAGCAGAGTTTGGAGCCCAATCCAAGTAAAACATATCTGAGCAAAGAGATATTACCTTCTCCTTTATCTGCACTGGAGATCGATTAGCAAGAGTCGGATCGCCTTCTTTGATCTCTTTCCAGCTGCCAGCTCCAAACTTGCTGACTCCACGCTTTACAGCCACTTCTTCATCCACACTCCAATGTCTTTTGGATGGAGTTTCTGAGATGAGAAGAAATACATGAGACACACTGGACGAAAAGCCACAATGGAAAACCGCATTGCTTTACTGTGATACGCAGATTGGAGAGTTTGAAACTAAATTGAATTTTCTCAAGTGGAAACTGTGTTCAGAACAAAAAGATGGTGTCTCTGGAACGATTCAAAATTCACTGCAAGTTACCTGAAGCTGCACCCTGCGGACTGAGAGGAATATCAGAGATGGTAAGAGCTTCTGGAGTAGAAGCGCCAGTAAGACCTTCGGCATTGTGCTTCTTAGGGGCATTTACTAAAGCTGCTGCAGCTAATCCACAGAGTGCTTTCTTCTCGCGGAACTGCTGGGGCCACGGCCGACATTCTCCTACGTGCTCTCTGGCCACTGATTCGTCCTCTCCCCTTGCGAAAAACAACGCAAAGGATCGCTTCCTGCACAGATGTGATAGATGCAGCTCACTAGTAAGCTACTACGTTGAACCCCCAGCAATTAAAATCTTTAGAGGAGGCAGTTTCGACGTACAATGTGGGATCTGTTGGTGAAAAGAAACATCACCTAAAATCTGCATTCTTCGCTGCGAATGCGGACAGGAATTGGTTGATGGAGCACCCGTGTTGCAAATCCCACCATGGCACTAAAAATTCGAGGCGGTTCCGTTTCCGCAAACATGCTTGCCATTGCACTATTCGTAAGTTTGGCAACTTTGTTCTTCCTCCTCCTGGAGACAAAAACGTTGACATATCTTCAATGACAGACTTCGTTCTACGTAAAATGAGATTTCATTCGGATGTGGCCCCAATTGAACTCCACAAACCTTAAATCTATACTGAATATTCTCAAGGGAAGAAGGAAACTTTTTGTGTGATGCTGATGTTCAAATTGCTTACTAGGATATGGGAACCAAAGATCAACATCCCATGCTAGCGGCGATGAGGGATCAGCGTTCCAGTGCACCACATTCCCATATGGGTCGACTCTGAACTTAGCTGGATCAAAGCCTGCGTTTCTGCACTCCATTGCTGGTTCGTTTAGAAACCGTTATGGAAAATTCCGACATTGTATTACGTACTCTATTACGTGCAAAGGAGGGACTCTCAAGCTTGGCACTTATTAACCTTGAGGAGAGTACCAGTGGTATGATGGAGGATTGCACCAATAGAATGAGAAAGCAGGGAATTCAAATCGTTTCAAGCTGAGCATTACAAGCATTGAAATTGCGTACCCGAGGTGCTCGAGCTGCTGCCATAGCTCTTCAGCAAATTTTCGTGTATCGGGTAAGCCTTTCTCCCTTCCAGCGACAACTGGAAACACTTTATCCCAGACTTTGAACTGCCCCATTACAGCAGAGAACACACCAAGTCTCAGTAGCCTGGCATTGCATGATTTTCCTATTTTCGGCCTCGTGGAAGAGGAACTAGAGTGCTAGACGAACCATGCTCGACGCTCAATGCTAATATCCCCACTTTTGTTTACTTCAAAATGCAATGCAGCGATCACAGTGAAGCGGAGGACCAGATTTCAAAAGGCGGTGCATATGACTGCGATTGTCATGCAGCAGGAACGTCAACATCAGGCTCGCACTGAAGAAACTAAGACAACGCTCGTACCAAAATTTCCCATACCCCCAAAGGATACACTGTTCAGTTTCAGCAAGTACTACTGATTCACTTCTTTCTCACAAAATTCTGCTCCATTTCATCCACTTCATTATATTTTCTACGCAACGGCAGGAGAAGTTTTCCTTCTGCGGTTGCCATAAAGAATAGGGGATTCGACGCCCAGATACAAGGTTCAAACGTAGTGATATTGTGTGCGATAAAATTGTACACAGTGCATGCACACAGCTCCCCGTTAGATTTCGAGCATTCTAGTGGAATTAGGATACAAAGACGACTTTGATTACTTCTGGCCATTCTCAAAGAAGCTCAACGTTATGACAGACAGAAAGATTGCAGAAATGGCACTTACGTCCTCCGTTTCCGGACAGTAGGGCAAGAAGCGTTGAGGCGGACCTTCGGTATAAGGCATTGGCAATCCAGAAGCGTGCGCATGGCGGCACAGCTTGGGGTAAGCCGGTGGGTATCCGAGCTGCGGGTCCACGTCATTGTCCTCATCCGCACATCCCAGCTGCGACAGCATCTCGACGTCGTCTCTCCTGAGCTCCAGTACACACTCCACCTTTCTCCACTGTGACTCTCAGCGCATGCAAGCTCTAAACTCCTCGACAGAACTCAGGGAAACGTGCGAACGGATACCGTTTCAAAAGCAGGCGGGTCACGGTAAGGAAGAGACGAGAGACCCCAGTTGTCCATCGGCATTCCAATGCAGCAAGACTCGCAAGAAAACGCTACTACTTCTCACGCTGCAAGCTGCAACAAAAAACACACAAGCACCAGGCAAGGGCCACCGAAAACTCAACAACCAAAACCCACTGGCATTGCATGGTTAGTGGGCTCTTTCCCGTGACTCTCAGCGCAGCTCAGCTCAGCTCCGCTCTTCCATAACTGAGCAATATCGGATGCTGGACCATCATGAGAGCTGCAAAGCCATAACTCTGGCCTCAGGCCTGCGACGAATGTCGTCGCCACCTGACAACCTGCGGCCTGCATTGCATTTTGTTGCAACATTCAAGTGGAATTTTTCATCGAGCTTAAAATAGGCGAAAAGTTGGGGGCTGCGAGGGCTCCCCTGAGGGGTGGCATGCTTCCTCGGAGGGGGTTGCCAATCAGGGGTGCCGAGGATTGCTGCATTGACCCGAGCTCAGGTGGCGAGATAAAGAGATGGCGTTGCACTCCACCTGCCCTCCCAGTCATTCCTGCTGCCTCAATAATGGTGCCATGTTCCTCCCTTGTGATGCGAATAATTTTGCATCTCATTTCCCGCTTTATGTTTTTTGTAGCTGTGTGCCTACTTGGCGTGGTTGGTAGGATAAAAGGAACCCAATTCCACACTCTTGTATACACCGAAATAAGTGAATTAGAAGTCTCCTCTCCTTTCTTTTTCTTTTTTCTCTTTTTTCCTCTAAAAACGTAGGATTTGATTCTGTAAAGTTTGCATTGATTTGAGATTAGTGAGGACGTGCCAAGTTTTTTGTGATTTGTCCATGATTCATCCTCAAATGGCTCTTCAAAAACTCATATGCAATCCCCCGTGTTCTTCTGTGTGTGTAAGTATGAAAACATGTAAACATTTCCATTTGTGTATTTATACACAGCATAGGTGCTCATACTTTAGATTACATCAAGCAAGGAGTGATGGAAGGTTTCAGAGTCACTATATATATATATATATATATAGCCAAAAAAATTGGTGAAAATTTGCAAAATATATTGATGTCATTCTCTGCTGGTTTAAGATCATTTCAGTCAATCAAGTAATCAGTCAAGCAATCAATCACTCACTCAAAACAAATATATACATATATATATATATATATATATATATATTTTCATACCCACACATATAAATAATTGAAGAAAGGTGTTGATAAGAGCATTGCATTGGGTAGGAAGAATACAAAAAGTCAAGTGTTTGATCTCAACCGAGGAGCACAGGCCTTGATGAACGGATTTGTACAATGCTTGAAATATGCCACTCCTCCCCTACCATCACATATTATGTCCCATGTGGAGTCCAAGCTTCAATACCCAATCCAACTCAACATCTCCTTATCTCACCTCCATCAACTCTCCATGAGTTAAGGTCTTACAAAGTAGAGCAAATGTAGGGTTAGATGTTGTCAATGAATGTTGTTTCTTCTCCATCAATGCTATTAGTGAAACCCCCCCTAAAAACCACCTTAAACTGTCCAAATTGGGCCTAAATATCCAAACATGAAAAAGTGCTCTTCAGTGTTTTGGAATGGGGGGATTAGAACAACACCCATCCATGTGTGTATGTTGTGCCTTTGTCATGTAGTGTCATGTCACTCAAGTTTGATAAGTTTTATGGGTTCATGTAAGTGAAAGCTTTGGGGACACTGATGTGGATCCCAATAAAAACACACAGAGAGAGGGATATATACATATACATATATTTAAATGGGGTGAGAAGGTTGAATGAAAGGGGGAAGAAGGTTCCAAGCAGGTGAGGGGCAGTACACCATTTCCCTGCCCAAGTCAAAGCCTGTTCCACAGGCAGTCATACACTCACCACCACTGCACATGCCCATCATGGGTTTCAGTACCATGGATGGATGTATATATGGATGAGTGATCATGGATGAATTACTTTGTATGAATGATATATGTAGATGAGTTATTGAGGATGGATGATTATTCCATAATTGTTTCCCAGAGAATCAAGTGTTTATTTAAAGCTTTATATATATATTTATATATATATGTTTGTTTTGTTCTAATGAACATAGTCTTGGTGTGTGAACAACATGGACTTCATGGGGGGTGAATATTGTGCCAAAATGATTTGTTTGTTTGTACTGGTTGTGTGTGTGTGTGTGTGTGTAACATGTGGGTAGTATACCTCTTCCTTGGGCCCTACAATGGAATTGCATTGATATACCATTTACCAATGAGCATTTATTACTGACCAATGTGACAAGTACAAATGTTCAAGTAAATATCTCAGTGTGAATGTTTTCACTTCAGCAATCACATTATATGCATCAATATATAAATATATGTATTATTTTTGAAGAATGAATAGTATTTTTGACAAATTAAACCTGTCTTGAGAAAAAGTGATGATTAAATTTGTATAAAGACACTCTTAGTATATATATATATATATATATATATATAACAGAAAAGAAAAAAGAGAAAAGAAATCCAATAAGATGAGAGAGAGAGAGAGAGAGAGAGAGAGAGAGAGTACTGCATTAATGAATCACAATACAAAATACAAATAATCCACATTAATAGCACCAAGTCAAATGCATGCCACAGTGGGAGTCAGTTTAATGGCAGAAACATAAAGCTACTTTCATCACCCATCTGACTCTCAATCCATTATTCATCCAATAACCCACATTCATCCACGCCATCCACGTCCCTGCCGAGGTGGAAAGCGAAGGGTGCCAGCGTGGCTGGGTGAGGTCACAGGTCGCCCTGCCAGACAAAAAGATGACGTCATCTCTCCCGGCATTCGATCCCGGTTGAGGATCCATGCGTATTGTCCCCGTCCGCGTTCCCATCGCGTGAGCATGCGTGGGAGGGTGGAAAGGTACCACGTGGGAGAGCGGCAACGGGTAGTGTAGGGGGGCCATAGGGGTAACATTGGATGGTTAGTGCATGGGTACGTGTACAAACGGGCTCCGATTCCCGTGGAACTGGATGTAGGGGTATCCATGGTTGGTGAGTGTGTGGCACGAGTGACAACGGGCTCCAGTGCCCGTGGCTGGGCTAGGGGGCCATTGAAGGGATATGGCAGGAAATGGGGGGGGGGAGAAGAGACAAAAGGAGCGGGTCGGGTGCTCCGTCCCGCCAATCTGGCTGGTCATTTAATGGAGAAGGGAATGAGAGGGGGTCACCCGTCCGGTCCTGCAGAGGAGCTTCAGCGTTCCCGCTTGGCTGCCCAGTCAGACACTTTCAAACAGCGCCATACAAACTTCCATTTTATTTATTTCATTTTATTTTGTGTAGTAATAGTAATAATAATATTATTATTACTATGGTCATGAGAAAGAGAATGATAAAGAGGGGGTGTCTGCCCATATTAATAAACAAAATCCGTTGTTGTCATGTTTATGTACTTTTCCCTTTGAATGGGCCCCATGTGGTTTTTATTTTTTTTCATTTTTCAATTCTGGATTTTACTTGCTTTCTCAAGTGGGGTGACAATATTATTATTATTACTACTCCTACTATTGACGAAGGAATGGAATAAAATGCCTTGTGTTGTAAAAGTCCCAGTTTGTTTTCATTACTTTTAACTTTTTTTGGGGGTTGGGCTTTATGCATTGTGGTTGTTCAAAATTTATTAGTAATATATATATACGATATTATGAGTCAAAGAAATATACTTTACAATAAATTTTAACTTTGTCTCAACAATCGAATTTCTATGACAATTAAAATAATGATAACATGTAGCGTTATCTATTGATGTGGCGGGAAAATAATTGAAATTATTAAAAATAAATTTGTGAATGTATACTTTCATCTCTTTATGTAATTTAATACTTTTTGATGCGTAATAGTTTCAATCGATAGAAAATAAGTAAAACCACCTACAAAAAAAAACAAAAAATATTATGGTTCTGTATTTTAGAATATGAGACACGTATTTATTTTGAAAAGTAATACATTTGCAAAAATTATTGGTATATAAAAATATGTAATATAATAGTAAATTATAAAGCAATTATTGCAACCAAGAATTATAGAAACGTGTTCTATCAAACCAAAATGATTCCAAAACAAATTATCTATCTTCCTTACAAAACAATCATATTTCTAAAAGTAATACACGAATATTTCTTTTAACGATATTAGATATATATATATATATATATATATTAGATTTTGCAAGTGTTTTATTTATTTATGCAATGTTAGAAGTTCATGAAGTGACCATCCTTGGTGATAGTGTTCAGTACCCCCAATAGAGTATAGTTGAAAAGAACTAAGTAGAAAAAAACAAAGTCAATGTTTTCAATCACACATTGGAGACTGCAATCCACAATCCGCACAGCGCAATCACCTCATATGTTTTTAAAATCACAACAAATTAGGTATTGAAATCAACCCATGTTTCACAAAGAATCCACTTATGTTGCTTAAGTTGAGCAACTCTGCAAATCTGTTTAGGTTTTTTCAAAGGAGTTATTCACACCACTTAGGCTTTGTTCTTGGAGTCTAATATTGTTGTGGTTATTTTGATTAAGTAGAGGTTTTCAGGAAGAAATATATAGCAACCCCACAAGCAATGGAGACAAATAAATTAACATTTATGTATATATATATATATCAAATATAGTTCATAGATTTTTGTTTTTCAGGCTTTGATTTACTTTGTTTTTTTTTAACCTTGATGTAATATATTTCTTTTACAACAATAAATTTCAAAGCACAATAAGGAGAAGTATTTTACCAAAGTCTGCCTTTGAATTTCAATCCACACTGAAATGTAGAGTAGACCTCGGCAATTCTCCTACTACAAGTGCGAATTGTTTACCAAAAGTTTTTTGAAATAATTCTCTTTTAAAATTCAAGGCTCTAATTACATGAAAAATTGATTCACGAAGAGAAAATTCACACAAAATAGATTTTAGTTGATTTCGAAGTTTTTATATCTTCTTGTTGAATTCATTTCTCTTTATGCATTTTACAACAACATTCTTACAAAGTTATATGAAAAAGGTTTAAACCTTCCTCAAAATTATATACACTTCCTATGTTATCAAAAATGTGAGTAATATAATATTCATAATGAGCGTGATTTTTTTTTTGGTTTTGTTGAAGTAACAATTGACCATAAGTTATTATTTTTCTTTCACTTCGTTTGTAGTGATTAACTCTATATCCTCAAATATCTTGTTCTTAAAAACTGGTCTGCTTAAAAGTTAGAATTGCCATGGGATCCTCTGAACACTGTACAATTCTTTTGATATATCAATACCCACACACACACTCACACACACACAATCTTTGAATATTTATTGAGCAGTTCAACTTTCAAAGGAGGTACAAGATGTTTAATTGAATGACAAGTACAGTTTGTCATTCTTATATGTTAAGAAAAACATATTTCTTTCAGTTGATGGATGAAAAACTTGTGAAAGAAATATGATATTGTGCAACATATATGTATGTATATATATATATATATATACACACAAACAAACAAATAAATCACCAACAGCTTTATTTTGAGTTTATCCACTACTATTGAATGCATTGAATTCCATGGTATAATCATTGGAGATTTTATTTCTTAGTTAGAAATTTGAATCTTAGTAATACTCCATTCAAA